GGGGGCGCTCTCATACATGACATCTGACCAGTGCTAATAAGGATGGGGGCTCTCATACATGACATCTGATGACTGATAATATATTAGGATGGGGGGCTCTCATACATGACATCTGACCAGAGATAATATATGAGGAATGGGGTCTCTTATACATGACATTTGATCACTGATAATATATGAGGATGGAGGGGGGGAGGAGGTGTCTCGTACATTACGTCTTATCGTTGATAATAAATTAGGAAATGACGTGACGTCTGATAATAAATATGGGGGGGTTCTTCTACGTGAAATCCATGACATAAGATCACTGATAATAAATGAAGGTGGGGTTCATCCATGACATCTGATCGCTGATAGTAAGGATGGGGGGGTGATTAATGACATGAGATCACAGATAGTAAATGCGGAGCGGGTTCTCATTCATGCAAACCGATCAGGGTGACGATGCAGGACTCGGAGGAGGGTCAGCTGGTTATTTTTACCCCCGGTCGGGTATAAAGGGAGCTCCGGGCCAGTCGGAGTGTCAGAGCCTCCTGTGTATCTGTCGCACTTCCTCCTCCTCCCGTCATGCCCGCCTTCTCCTTCCTCCCCCCGGCTCCCTCCAGTGCTCACACCCACCACAGACCCATGTGCAGCCCGGAGAGGATCGTACCGATCCGCCTTGTGCAGCCAGGCCTCGGGCGGATCTCGGGGCTCAGCATGCAACTGTCGGCAGCCCAGCTCCAGAAAGCCCAGGAGCAGCCGCCCTCCTCGCCCGATCTCCGGGGTTGGCTCAGTGACATGGTCCAGCAGGAAGCCAAGAGGCCCGAGCGGCCAGCCTCTCCCGAGCAGAAGAGCAGCGATGCCAGCTCCGGATACTGGCATCATGAGGAAGCCAGCAGTCCCAGTCCTGGACACTGGCACACCGAGGAGATCAGCAGCAGCAGCAGTGCCAACCCCAGATACTGGCAGTCAGAGGAGAACAGTGCTAACCCCAGATACTGGCAGTCAGAGGAGAACAGTGCCAACCCCAGATACTGGCACACAGAGGAGAACAGTGCCAACCCCAGATGCTGGCACACAGAGGAAAACAACAGTGCCAACACCAGATGCTGGCACACAGAGGAGAACAACAGCGCCAACCCCAGATGCTGGCCCCCAGAGGAGAACAACGGTGCCAACCCCAGATGCTGGCACCCACAGGAAAACAATGGTGCCAACCAAAGCTCATGGCACCCCAGTGCCACAATCCAGCTGCCAAATACCAGGACTGAATCCCACCAAGAGCGGCTGGCACTGCATCTGGCCGAGCTGGAAAAACAGGACAAGTACCTGCGAGAGAAGAACCGATACCGGTTCCACATAATCCCAGATGGGAATTGTCTATACCGAGCCATCAGCAAGGCGATGTACGGCGACCAGAGCCTGCACTCTGACCTACGGGAGCGTACCGTACACCATGTGGCCGACCACCTGGACACCTTCAACCTCATCATTGAGGGTGACATTGGTGAGTTCTTGATCAACGCTGCCCAGGACGGGTCGTGGGCCGGGTACCCAGAGTTGCTGGCCATGAGTCAGATGTTGAACATCAACATCCACTTGACCACTGGAGGAAGGCCAGAATGCCCCACTGTGTCTACCATGGTCCACTACCTGGGAGAAGAAAACCCCTGCAGGCTCAACATCTGGCTCAGTTGGCTCAGCAACGGCCACTACGACGCTGTGCTCGAGGAGCCCCTGCCCAACCCGGAGTATGAAAACTGGAGCAAGCAGAACCAGGCCCAACGACAACGAGACCAAGAATTGGCCAAGTCCATGGCGATTTCCCTCTCCAAAATGTACATTGAGCAGAACGCTTGTTCCTGAGATGAGACTCTGTGATGTGGACTCCAATCCCTGAGGACTGACCCTTAAGGTGGCCATAGAGCAAATTTCAGCAGATTGAAAGAGATTTCAGCGCCTTCGTTAGTGTACGTGATGGGGATGCCGTTAGTAGATGTAACAGGGAGAAAAATTATTAGAAAGTTCATCGGACAGTTTAAAACTTTTTGGACTTTTTCTGCAAACCGGGTTCCAAGGCCATGTCCACCTTCTCCGTATAGGTTGCATTGGATGCGACAAAAGCCGTTCAACAATTAGACCGCTTCCGGACACCCAAAATGTTTTGTCTGTGGCCAGCTTTAGGCACAGCCACCCAGGGAGAGGGAGTGAGACCAACTCCGGTCTACGCTTTCAGCACTTTAAACCTTCACTGACCGCAGTCTTGATGCCTTAACTGTTACTGGATTTGTGTAGCTGCCCCGCGAGCTCAGGCTACCCCTTGTCCCCGGATAATAAATGGAGACGTGTGCTATTTATACTCTTTGTCAGGTTTATGACTCTTGTATATCATGATACTGATTTTTAAAGTAAGTATTTTTGCTATGGTTTGTTTACCACGTCGCCGTGCTGCAGAGAACTGGACTTCCCCTATAAGACTTGGTGGTGAGCCAGTGACCAATGGGGGTGGGGCAGCACGGCGAGAGATCCTTTCTGTTGCAGCTTAATATTTATTAACGCAGTTCCTATTTTTCCAGTTTTGTAATTACGGGGGATTTGTATATATGTTTATAGTGACATTCCCAGCTTAGTACGGAAGGAATAAAGTTTTCTTATCTTTTCCACTTCATCTGTCGATGTTCTTTTTTCTGCCTCCTTTGTCTTGTACCTGATCTGGCTGAGGCCTAAGGAGTTAAGGTCCTGGGGTACGATCGTAGCAGAGTGATGGATTAACCCCTCTGCCACTCTTATTCAGGGGGAGCTCGGTTGTTGTATTAGGTAACAATACCGAGTATCTAAACGTGATATTTCTGAAATGTTACAAATGTTTTTATGAATTATTATTTGGAAAAATTGCCACATTGGGTTGACACACCGTGTGAAAAATCTTAGGTGCAGTAAACAATAGCCACCAATCAGAATCCCTTTATATACTGCTTTGACTTCAGCAGAGTAAATTCTGATTGGTGCTCGCCCCGTATGGTGCTACGTATTTTGTGGAACTACAGGTACCAGAATTTGAGGTTGCTGGACTTGCATATCCCTACAGGCTGGCTAGCTGCAATTTGAAATCGATTGCAGGATCAGTGCATTTTTATTTTTCTAATAATCACAAATTATTATAATACAGGATTTATATAGTGCCAACAGTTAGCGCAGCACTTTACAATATAAGGAAGACATTACAATACAGTTCAGGACAAGATGGTAAGGAGGGCCCGGCCCCAAATGTTAAATTGTTGCAACTTTTAGATTGTAAGCCCTCACGGCTTACATCTAAAAGTTGCAACAATTTAACATTTGCTGAATTATTTAGAGACGCAGTTCTAAGAATGTGCAGTCATTCGAACGGCCATGTAAATACATTGTAGCAGTTTACAGTAGTGTGAAAATTGTTTACCAGCCTCTAGATAGATTGCAACTTGTGTATTGTCCTTATAAATAAAAGTCACATGTACAGGTTTAGATTATTTTGGTGCATCCAATAAGAGTTCTGTCCTTGCTGTGCTTAAAGTGTATCTAAACTCAAATACAAAAATGTAATATATTGCATTTTAATCAATTCCTCAATGTGGTCCCTGCATTAGTTTTCTGTTCATGCTTCTTTGCATTCTTTTTTACCTGGTGATGTGGCCAGTAAGTCTGTTATTTTTCAAGTTCCTTTAACAGGCCGAGCTGTCCAGTAAAAAGTGGCAGATAGAGGGTTGGGACAAACCATTTAACACTGACAGGGGTGCTTACAATAATCAGCTTTTATTCATTTATGGAAAACATTTATCACAAAAGAAGAAAAAAAGAATCGCTTGCTGTAACTGGTTAATAAGTGTTAGCTGGAGATCAATTTTAATTTGTTGGTCACGTCCATCTTAACCTACTAGTACATCTAACACCACCCTCCCCACAGGGTGACAATGCTGTTGTCCAAGGATGGCTTCATTACTCCTCTATATTATTATTATTATTGTTATTATACAGGATATATATATATAGCGACAACAATTTGCACAGCTCTTTACAAAATGGGGGAGACAGTACAGTTACAATACAATACAGTTTCATTAGGAGGGCCCTGCTCTTGAGAGCTTACAATCTAGTAGGAGGGGCAAGTGATACAAAAGGTAATAATTGTTTAGATTGAGTTATTGCAGGAAGTAAAAGGCAGTTATGTTGAAATGACATAGGCTTTCCTGAAGAGATGGGTTTTTAAGGATCGCCTAAAGGTGGCCAGCATAGGAGATAGGTGGACAGATTTCGGGTAAGGATTGGGGTATAGAGTAAAGCCACCCTAGGACAGGAAGTGTGTTGGGGCCCATTCTTGCTTCCCCATCTGCTAAAATGCTGCATTTTAGGGGACAGACATACAGGGGTGGGCAACTCCGGCCCTCCAGCTTTTGTGGAAATACAAGTCCCATGAGGCATTGCAAGACTGACAGTTACAGGCATGACTCGCAGAAGCATGTTGAGATTTGTACTTACAACACAGCTGGAGGGCCGGAGTTGCCCACCCCTGGGTTAGTGTGTTGTGGCAGCTGTTATTGTTTACATTTTTTTTCTATAACTTTATGTAAAGTGTACAATGTGCACACTCCATTCAGGTCCCAGCACAGCAGTGTCAGTACGCTGCAAAAAAGCATGTGATCAATTTTCCACAGTGCACCGCTCATTACTCCTGCGTTGTGGTGTGAACAGCGCACATAAAAAACAATTGTTTCTATGTGTCCTAGCAGCGACCTGCGTTGATCTGAAACACAGGTTACCACTAAATGTGTAAATTGACCCTTACTAGCAGGATCACCAGATTAAATTAACTGGGGGAAAAGCCTAAAAAAAAGAAAACTCATGCAGCCACCACATTTAAAGAAGAACTCCAGGACATTTTTTAAAATTAACCCTTGCAGTGGGGCAACCCCTGCGCTGCAAGGGGTAAATACTAATTTTTGTATAGATGCTAAAATAACAAACATATACTCACCCAAAGCTCCGAGCGGGCCAGCTGCCACAGCGCTCCCTCCAGCCATTCTCCCCCTTCCTGCAGCATTGGAATCTTCCTCAGCGTTCCTCACACTTTGTATAGCCATGATGATTTACGGGACCTTAGACCGCTGCAGAGGAGGGGGGAGATGTTAGGAGGACCAGTCTAAGAAGAAGCCGGTGCGAAACTTTGGGTGAGTATAAGTTTTTTTTTAACTTGGACGCAAACGAGCACTTAACCCTTGCAGTGCGAGGGTAGCCCCACTGCAAGGGTTAATAACATTTCCTGGAGTTCTTCTTTAAGATTGGTGAGCTGTAATAAATGACATTTTTGTTTTTGGTTTTAGATTAGCAATGCAGAGTGATGGTGATGTACACATGGCCATGTGCCTTAGCTGATTTTTAGTCTGCTGCAGTCATATCTGTGACTCTGTATTTCTGGCTGGTGTCTAAGGACTCAGTCACACCAGACACAGTACGTTCCGGCCCGATTCTGGCCAGAACACACTGCATCGCATTGCAGCCGGCTCACTATGTTGTGGGGCAGGAGGGGGCGTGTCTGTCCATTGAACTGAATGGCACCTAGCCACGCCCTCCGGCCGCATTGCGGTCGGCCGCACGGGAACCCAAGGCACATTATGCCTGCGGTCCGGTCCACTCCAGCCCGAACAAAATGCTGCAAGCACTATTTTGTTGGGACCGGACAGCCTGCATAATGTGCCTTGCGTTCCTGTGTGGCCGATCGCATTGCTGCCGGATGGCGTGGCTAGGTGCCATTCAGTTCAATGTACCGCCACGCCCCCTCTTGCCCCACAACATAGTGAGACGGCCGCAATGCGATGCAGTGCGTTCTGGCCAGAATCGGGCCAGAAATGCACTGTGTCTGGTGTGACTGAGACCTAAGGGTGTACCGCGTACTTTGTATCTTATTGGACTGTCCTTTATATCTCTATTTTGGTAAAGGATACACACACACAGGCTTATCCAGGAGGACAGTGCAAGGAGCAAAGCTGAAGTGCCAAGTGTAATAACTCCTGGCAACCAATCAGATCTCAGAGGAATAGATGAAATCTCCTGGAAATTGGTTGCTGCACCATGTTCTTATTGATGAATCCTCTGTACATACACCACGGATAAACATTGGGCCTGGAGCTAGCTGTGCAGCCAGTATTCATAGCCAGGCTTGGCCTATCCATCGGGTTTAGCTTTTCTCAGTATAATACAGCCAAAGCTTTATTTAATACCACATTGCTTAGAACAGCTGTGGGCTGTAACCAATCACATATCATAATCCTCATCTGACTAAAATAGATCATTGGAGATTTAAAGAAGAACCGCAGGCAATTGATAAATTAATATTTGCAATGGGGCTACCCCCAGCACTGCAATATGTGTTTGCTCACTTCCCGATCTACTGAGCCGACCTGTGACAGTTTCTTTGTCACAGGTCGGCTCAGATTATGAGGCTGACCTCATAGTTCTCCTTTAACTTCTCTTTTTGGTTTAGGGGCTAAAATAAAGAAGATACACTTAACCTGATCCTCGATCCTGCAGCAGTGACCACTCACCTCTCTTCCCCCTCCACTCCATCCAGTACCAGTGCCTGTACAGCCAGTACCAGTGCTATCCAGAACCAGTGCCTGTACAGCCAGTACCAGTGCTATCCAGAACCAGTGCCTGTACAGCCAGTACCAGTGCTATCCAGAACCAGTGCCTGTACAGTCAGTACAAGTGCCATCCAGTACCACTGCTATGCAGAACCAGTGCCTGTACAGTCAGTACAAGTGCCATCCAGTACCAGTGCCTGTACAGCCAGTACCACTGCTATTCAGAACCAGTGCCTGTACAGCCAGTACCAGTGCCATCCAGAACCTGTCCCTGTACAGCCTGTG